TAAACCGTAAGCCCTAAACCCTAAGGTGTTAGAGGGTTTTGGTGGATCCGGCTTTCAATTTTCAGCCAAGGGTTTAGGGTTTAGGGATTTGGGGGTTTAGGGTTTAGGGTTTAGGGCCTAGGGTTTAGGGTTTATAGGGTCTAGGGTTTAGGGTTTAGGGTCTAGGGTTTAGGGTTTAGGGTCTAGGGTTTAGGGTTTATAGGGTCTTGGGTTTAGGGTTTAGGGTCCAGGGTTACGTTTGCCGCGCCTCATGAGATGGGCAGGATGTGCTTTGCAAGCCCGTTGGCCTCTCCTCTACGACAGGTAGTTTAGAGTTTGGAAACTCAGCTCAGAGGCGTTGTGGCGGGAAACATATGTAAACATATCGCTGACAAACAATACATGCATTAACATACACTGCATACAGTACAGTTGCATACAGAAAAAGCTACACTAGCTACGACAATACATACATACATACATACATACATACATACATACATACATACATACACACATACATACATACATACGTCGGTACGTACGTACATAGATACACACACATACATACATACATACATACATACGTACGTACGTACATACATACATACATGCACATATACATGCATAGACACAGATACGTGCATGAACACATTCATGCATGCATCCATGCATGCATGCATACATATTTAACCCTAAACCGCCTACTAAACCCTGAACCCTTAAACCCAAAACCTTAAACCCCTAAACCCGTAAGCCTCTGCTACGGCGATGTCTTTGGCCTTAGAGGCATAGGATAGTAGGATCGTGGCTCGCATGAGCGCGAGCCACCAGCCACCCCGGACGTCAGGGGCGTTATAGGGTTTTGCCGTTGTTTTACGCCCCAAGCCCCAAACCTCTTCAAGAGCAAACCCTCTGAACTTCAAGCCCGGGAACTTTCAGAACGGAAACCCCCCGCAATTGAAACACGCTCAAAACCCAAAGCTCTGAAATCCTAAACCCACTGTTTCTAAACATAAACTCTAAGCCTTAAACACATGAAGAACAAAAGCCGCGAAACCAAGAACAAGCGGAACTGCCTCGTCGTCCGAGCTCACAACTTCCATCTCCGACTGCCTAAACATTTAAAAGCATTAACCGTTTTAGAACTTGAGGGGTCAGAGGCTGAAGTTTCATTACCAAATTTCGCATTTTACGTTTCGGTGCGTTTTTTCGGCTGTGGTTGTACATGAAAGATTGTGCGACGACAAAGCGCTGTGGGATAGTGCGGTTTATGCACAACACCTTTCGAGGCTTTGTCACGTTAAATACTGTACCGCTATAGATGCACAGGCAAACGTTCGAATTCTTCGTAAAATGCCTGCATCCGCACAATTCTCTTTTCGCAGGATTCCCGATCCCAGGCGTTCGCCGGCACCTGCACCAGTCGAACGTACCCCACGCCGCTAAGTGTAAACGAGGGCAGAAAATGTGCTGCGAAATAAGCGACTGCTACGGGATACGTGGTTCTCGTACAAACTGTATGGAAGTCGAACCTACTTTGAATATGGAGAGCGCTATGGTTCATGAACAACATGTCTTTGAGTTGACTCGGCTCATTGTGTCACAAACGTGCCTCGCAGATCGAATGCTACCATGGAATACGTGTCACTCGTAAAAACTGCGTGGATGTCGAAACTACTTTCAATATGGAGAGCGGTCTGTTTCATGAACAACATGTCCTGAGACTGACTCAACTCCTTGTGTGACAAACGTGCCTCACGGGTCCAGTGCTACCACGTCCAAGATTATCGCCGGAAATCTTGCGGCAGAAAAGCGACATCATTCAACGTCGTGGACATTGCCATACGGTCGTATTACTCTAACTAATGACTGCTGGAAGAACAACTATGCTGCTACTCTGCCCCGGCGCTCCTGTTCAGCAGCCCTACTGCCTCGGATGATCTGTTCTGGTTGTATCAAACGGAAGCAGATTAGTGGGACGGCTTCGCAAGAAAAACCAGGCACATTGTTTCCTTCGGCTAAACCGCTGACAAGGTTCCGCTGAATACCCAGCAGATTTCGTGAACCTGTTGATCTTACTTATACTGCATGCGCCCGGAGACAGAGCGCAAACCGAAAATGTTGGTCGACCACACTGCAGTCCGCAGAACTCGCAAACTCAGGAGCGCCAAATATCCAACTTGCAAGCAGGTGAACAATACTTGCTTACACCAGCCGACTACTTTTTGAGGTACTTGAGTATAGAACGGCAGGACAAAGGTTGAATATCCCAGCGTGGACTGCTACTTGTGTGGCAAAACAGAGATCGCAAGACATCTTTATACACAGAGCGACTACAACGATTTTTAATGCATTTCAGAAGACAGGCAGCGGTGGCACGTAAAACGACCATGACATGGTCTCAATGGCTATAGCTGGCTTAACTATAGCCACCAGATGTCACCAGTCAGCTGGGACTGGAGTTAACGTTGTCAAACAACACCATGTGAGACGCGGACTACTGGAAAGGTTTTATAAGTGTCTTGGTTTAGGGCGTTCGTGTTTAGCAGTCACGGCTCAGGATTCTGACAATACGGGAAGGGAGGAGTTTTGGGATGGAACCAAGGCTATCAACTTCTACAAGTTTTCTGGAGTTCTGCTTGCGCTCATTCTTCAAACTCCAATCGCGATAGTGTCTTTGGGGTCAAGGGCTCACGGCATGAAGGTTACGCAAATTTTTCTGGGCTCAAGGCTTGGGCCTGGGTTTCCGTGATAGTCGTGTCATCTGAAGGTACGGGCATTCGATTGAGGCATCGGTTTCAGTTGGCAATGCCGCAGCTTTCACTGTAAGGTCGCGGCACTTTTATGTTGGGGCTCCAACAGGTCGTTGTTCTTCAAAGCCTGTTCGGGGCCTTAGTATCATTTCCAGATGATTATAGAGCCCTAAATCCCTAAACCCCCAAACCTAAACCCTAAACCCTAAATCCCTAAACCCTGAACCTATACCCTAAACCCTGAAACCTAAACCCTAAACCCTGAACTAAACCCTCAACCCGAAATCCCAGAGCCGCATGCAGGCCCTTGTTAACAGGACCTGTTATGACCCCGAGCATTCTCTGTACGAGTAGCTCCCATACTTACCACGACAAGGCTATACACATAGTCTCCATTGTGGTTCCTTTTGGGGCGGGCTACCCTATAGTTATAGGATCCCAATTATAAACTTGGTGAGACCAAACAAGGAACTACGGTTGATGATATAAACCCTGCATTACCCAGAATTGGAAATATGCCATAAGTTCCATAGTTTAGCGTCCTTAACGTAACGCAGGATTTATATCATCAACAGTAGAATGGAGACTATAGGCAGGGTTTAGGGTCTGAACTACGCACTCCGTCCCCGAGAACAACCATCTGGACGGCTTCGGCACCAGGGCAGCAAACGGCACTACTGGTGACAGTATAAATCCTGCATTACCTTAACGGCCCTAAGCTATGGGAGTTATGGTATATTCCATATTATGGGTAATGCAGGTTTTTTTCATCGACCGTATTGAGGAATCCAAACCTACGCACTTAGAGCTAAAGCCCCAGATCTCGAATTCTTCACAAACCAAACTCCTCAGACCAGCAAGCCGTACACACCCGAAGAGTCCAACGGTGGATGATATATAGCCTGCATTACCCAGACTAAGGAATATACCATAATTCCCATAGTTTAGGGTCCTTAAGGTAATGCAGGATTTATATCATCAACAGAAGTACCTAATAATCATATACGCTCACAACCAGTTACCTTAGATAACTACGATCCGTAACCCAAGTACCTTATTGTTGGACCCTTTTGGCCGCTGAGGGTTCAAGGCCATCAAACCACCAACAACTGTCCGAGAGCAACGCGAGCGGATGACCTAGAATAATTCTTACAAGCCTGGCTATAGAAACAAGCCAACACTCCAAAGACCGGGGCAAAACAGTTCCTGAATCCCTTAAAGTCTGAACCCCTCAACCCTAAATCCCCAAACGGCCCTAAACCCTAAATCTCCCAAACCCTGCATCCTTGAACCCCCCAAAATCCCTGAACCCTAAAAGCCCTAAACCCCGAGCTGCAAATCCCCTAGACCCTAAACCAAAATCTTCAGAGCCACCCGGCCCGACATCCATTCCTACTGTTAGGGCTTAGGGCTTAGGGTTTAGGGTTTGGGGTTTAGGGTTTGATGGTATAAATCCTGCATTACCTTAAGGACCCTAAACTATGGGAAGTATGGTATATCGCTTAGTCTGGCTAATGCAGGATTTTTTTCACCAACCGTATCAGTAGGGTTTAGGGGTTTAGGCTAAGGACTTCAGGGTTTTAAGGTGCAGGGTTGGGTTTAGGTTTTTCTGGAACCCGAGACAGCGCAATTGTGCGGAGAGGTTCATGGGCAACATCGGGCTTATAGGGCTTATGGTGATTCTTGCGCTGAGGTAATGTAAGGGCCATAATAATTGGAATGGGGTTTTGGGGTGTGTGCGGACATAAGTCTGGTGCAAATGAAGCTTGAGATGACTTGTGCATCCGTTGAACTCTCAGCTATCTTTGAGCTTTTCTTCTAACTGAGCTTGGTTATGATACTTTCAATGCCAGTAAGCATCGAATCAAACTTAGCTGACCATTCGTCGAGAACATGTACAGGAAAATCAATCGGCGAATGACAGTTACGTGTAAGATTACGCGGCTCAGAAGAGAAGTTCAACAACTTCTTGCAACACACACAGGAGTCGGTAGCCTCCCATTTAGGTTGAAGCAAGTGTGTGCGAAAAGTGTTCTCCAGAATTTGATTTTGCTTGTATCT